GCGGTGGCTCCAGGTTGGCCAGGCAGGTGGGGAGGGCACAATTGGCCTCAAGTTGGGGTCTGGCATGCCACCTGGCCAGCATATGACCCTGGAAAAGTAACTTCCTACCCTGAAATTCCGTTTATCCTGTTTACAGAGGGCAGCTTTTTGCTCCCTTTAAGAGGGGGTCTCATGTAGCCTAGACTGACCTCCAAGTGGCTAAGTGGCTAAGGATGCCCTGAAACTCCTGGTCCTCCTGTCTCCACCCCCCAGGTGCTGGGATGACCGGTGTGCCCACCACCCCTGATTTATGGCTGTGGAACCCAGGCCTCTCCCGTGCTAACTGAGCATACTACCAAATGAGCCCCACACAGCACTTCCCCCCCCCCAAGACAGGGTTTCTCTGTGTAGCTCTGTAGACCAGGCTGGCCTTGAACTCCCAGAGATCCGACAGCCTCTGCCTCCTGAGTGCTGGGATTAAAGGCGTGGACCACCACCACCACCCCACTTGCTCTTTTCTTTTTAACCATTATTGTTGCTGTTGCTGTCTGTGATGTGTCTTGGGCACCCCAGTCAGCATGTCTGTGGTTAGTTGTCTGCTTCCACCTTTATGCTGGTTCTGGGTACAGAACACAGGTCTTCGGGTTTCATGGCAAGAGCTTTAATCCACAGAGCCATCTTCCCAGCACTCAACATAGCTAGCTTCCAAGGCTTTCCTACAGAGCCAGACACACATTCAGCCTTAATAAATGGGGAGACGGCTAGAGCCTGCCTCATCAGTTCAGAGAACCTGGGTTCGAGTCCCAGCTTATAACCATCTGTTACTCCTTTCCTGAGGGATCTGATGCCTACTTCTGGTCTCTGAGGGTACCATGCACACAAGTGTACACAGTCATACATGTAGTCAAAACACCCAGACACGTGAAATACAATGATACGATTTTTAGTATACGTAAGCCACAGCACTTCGGAAGGCGCTGGGGTGCAACTCTCACATGATGCCAGGCTGAGAGGCAGTGGGGGCAGGGGCACTGTCCCTGAACCCAGAGGACAGGAACAATAATGGGTGGAATGTGAGTCACCAGGGGCTGTGGAGGGAGGGGTTTGAGCAGGAGGCCGCATCAGGGTCAGTTCTGGAAGAGCTGGCGGGCTTTATAATGTATGGGAGGTCGTATGTGTATGTACTTGGAAACATGAAGTCAGTTAAGGGGCCAGTGGGAAAGGTGCTTGCTGTCAAGCCTGACAGTATGAGTTTGATCCTCAGGACCCAAAAGGTGGAAGGAAAGACTAGAACTGTAGGTGTCTTCTGCTGTCCACATGGGTGCTGTGACATGTGTGAGTGCCCACCATACACAAGTAAATACATAAAATGTATTAAAAATAGAGTTGTGCCACTCCGTGGTGGTGCACGCCTTTAACTCCAGCACTTGGGAGGCTGAGGCAGGTAGATCTCTGAGTTCAAGGCCACCCTAGTCTACAGAGTGAGTTCCAGAACAGGCAGGGCCACACAGAGAAACCCTGTCTCAAAAAAAAAAAAAAAAAAAAAAAAAAAGAAAAAAAAAAAAAGAAAAGAAAAGAAAATGGACTGGAGAGATGACTTAATAGTTAGGAGCACTGGCTCAGGTCATTGGCTCAGAGGCAGCGCCATCTGCAGAGTCATCCTGGGCCCTGGATGGAGGCCTGGGATCCAGGCCTGCTCAGCTACTCCTCCTGGAGACTCCCAGGTCCAAGGAGCCTTTTGCCTTTCAGTTTGGGTTCCCAGCCCTGGACAGGTCACGGCTCTTGACAGCACCTCCACTTTTTCTTCCAGTGGAGAACAATAGGCAATCCTCCAGTCTGTCACTGAGCATAGCTGCCACAGTGTCTTTAAAAGGTTATTTCCCTGGCCACACCTGCCACACCGTATAAAATCTCTAAAAATAGACGGTCTGAAGCCCTTCTGCCTGCATCCCTTGGTCATGTTGTCCCTCAGGAGGGAGCGAGGGAGGCAGGGAAGATGCCCTCTCAGGCCAACCTCATTCCCTGACGAGACTGCTCTGTGATTTTCCTGAGAACAATTTGTCATGGTCACAGGAAACTTTGCCTATGCTCTGTCCTCGTCCCCTCGGATGCTCTGGCTTGCACGGCTCAGGATCCTCAGGGATGCTCCCCACCCCCTCTTTCTCTCTAAATGGAAAACAATCAATTCGGCCTAAGTTGTTTGTTTAGGTGGGAACCTTTCAGAGGAAGTCGGCACTTGCCACCAACTAAACAGCTCAGCCTTCGAGGAGACAGGAGGTTTAAAAAACGTCATGTCTTGGTTTAAAAACAATTTTCACTGTTTGGTTTTTGTTTTATTGTTTTGAGACAGAGTGTTATGTACTTTAGGTAGTTTGAGGCTACTTGAAGGCTGGCCTTGAACTCACAGCAGTCCTCCTGCCTCAGCTTCCATATTGTTGTGTGACAGAAGTGTGCCACCATGCTGGGTGGTGGTGGCACACGCCTTTAATCCGAGCACTCGGGAGGCAGAGGCAGGCGGATCTCTGTGTTTGAGGCCAGCCTGGTTTCTCCAAAGCTACACAGAGAAACCCTGTCTTGAAAAACAAAACAATAAAAAAAAAAAAAACACTTAAAAAAAAAAAAAGAAGTGTGCCACCAGGAAGGTTATTATAAAGGAAGAAATGACTTTTTAAAATTTATTTATTTTAAGATAGCTCTGGCTAGCCTGCAACTCTTGATGTAGACCAAGCTGGCCTCTGATTTACAGAGATGGCCCTGCCTCTGTGTCCTAAGTGCTGAGACTGAAGGTGTGTACCACCAAGCCTAGTGGAATGAATGGTTCTCCCGCCAAGGGGGCAAACCCTCCCTCTCAGTTTTCTGTGAATCTTGTTTTCTGTTTTTAGGAAGAAGTGAGGCAGAACTGAGTTGAGATTAGGGGCAGCTCCTTAGGGCTCAGAGTCCCTTGGGGAAGGGACTCTGGGGTGAGACTCTTGGGGGAAACCTACCATCACCACCCCGGGACTGCTGTTGCTGCCCCCAGCCCTACCCCCAACCCCACTCCTGTACTCACAGGAGGAGCCTCAGTGTATGCATAGACCAGACAGCAGGGACAGTTGTTCAGAGGCATGAGCTGAGGACAGAAGTAGACTCGCAGCTAAGAGACGGTGAGAGAGACAAGCAGAGGCTACAGGTGTTCCCCACCAAGCCTGAGGACCCCACAACTGGCTCCAGCAAGGTGTCCTCTGACTTCCGAGCACCATCACATCTGCACACACACAAAATAAGAAAGAAATGTAATGAGACTTGACTCAGGGTGGAGTGATTGCTGTGTACACCCTCAACTGTGCCAGGGCTTCCACCCTTAGCACTGTAAACAAACAGAAATACTTGAGGTGCTATAGCTAGCTGGTAGAGCTTGTCCAGTATGTGTGGAGCCCTGGGCTCTGCCCCCTGTGCCTGCCTGTCATCTCCACACAGAGGAGATGGAGGCAGGAGGGTCGGGATTTGGGTCATCTTCAGCTACATAGCATATTGGAGGCCAGCCTGGGCTACATGAGGCCCTGTCTCAAAACAATCAGAGGCAGGAAAAAAGCAGGCTTGGGGCTGCCTGTGGAGGGGCAGGCAGGTCACGTGACTCAGTTCTGGGTGTTCCTCACTTCAAGTCACCCTGAATGCCTGTGGCTCGTTGCATCCTCCCAAGGCTTCCGTTGCCCCCCAAGCCCAGACATGGTATTTTCTGATAACACACCCCCCCCCCCCCCCGTCTCACTGTAAGCCTGATAATGCTCTTGCCCCCGTCTCCAGAGTGCTGAGATTACAGATGGGAGCAAAGGCTTGGCATGATATTTATTGTCTGTGGCAGTCCCTTGTAACTCAATCTTCCTATGTAGGCAAGGCTGACCCTGAACTCCTCCATCCTGCCCAGTGTCTGCCCTATCATAAAAGGTATTTCCCTGGGCTGGAGAGATGGCTCAGAGGTTAAGACTGCCAACTGCTCTTCCTGAGGTCCTGAGTTCAATTCCCAGCAACCACATGGTGGCTCACAACCATCCATTATGAGATCTGGTCCCCTCTTCTGGTGTGCAGATATACATGGAAGCAGAATGTTGTATACATAATAAGTAAATAAAATCTCGAAAAAAAGAGGTATTTCCCAGCTCTCAGGGCAGGGGGAAACAGGGTCTCAGACCCAACCTTAATGCCCTGCGGGCTGCAGCGACCCCTGATGGCAAGAATCGGGATGGCAACTACAAACCCCTCTGATTTGAATTCCAATTTACCATCTCTCTCTCTCTTTCTCTCTCTCTCTTTGTGCTTCACGAATTTGCACGTCATCCTTTCGCAGGGGCCATGCTTAATCCTCCCTGTATCATTGCAATTTTAATCCTCCCTGTATCATTGCAATTTTACTCCCTGTATCATTGCAATTGTATCATTGCAATTTTAATCCTCCCTGTATCATTGCAATTTTAATCCTCCCTGTATCATTGCAATTTTAATCCTCCCTGTATCATTGCAATTTTAGTATATGTGCTGCCGAAGCGAGCACTTGCCATCTCTTTTTTCTTTTATTTTTTCTTTTCTCTCTCTTTTTTTATGAGGTGTCTAGGGCTCCATACCATTGAACTACATTCCAGTCTCTCCCAGCATCACAGTTCACTCTCTCTCCCTCCCACCCACCCCCTCTCTCTCTTTCTCTCTCCTCTGGCTGTCCTGGAACTCGCTCTGTTGATCAGGCTGGCCTCAAACTCATGGATATCTGCCTGTCTCAGCCTCCCAGTTAAAGGTATGGACCACCATGTCCCACTCCTGCATCACAAATTCAAAAAAAGAAAATATTTACTTTATGTATCTGTGTGTGGTTATGAGCAATTGACAACAGAGGCCAGAAGGAGGCGTCATACTCCCAGAAGCTGGAATCACAGGCAGTGGTGAGCTGCTGTGGGTGCTGGGGAGTAAATTTGGGTCCTCCACATGAACAGCTGGTGCTCTTAACCACTGTACCATCTTTGTACAGCAGAACTAACATAATGTAGACACTTGGGGTTTTGCTTTGCTTCTGTATGTGAATCAGCTTCACTAGATAGATACATAGACAGACAGATACATAGACAGACAGACAGACAGACAGACAGACAGACAGACAGACAAATAACCTGGACCTCAGAGTCCTTGTTCCCAGCACAGATGATAGGACCCTCTCCATACTGTCTGTGCATTGTGTCTGTAGGATGTATAAAACAAAGTTGTTTGTTTGTTTGTTTTTGCCAGGCCTGGTGGTCCATGCCGTTAATCTCAGCACTGGGGAGGCAGAGGCAGATATATCTCTGAGTTTGAGGCCAGACTGGTCTATAGAGTGAGTTTCAGGACAGCCAGGGCTATATAGAGAGATCCTGTCTCAAATAAATAGATGAATGAATAAATACATAAATAAATGGTTTAATTTTTTATTTATTTTGTATATGCTCTTTGCCTGCATGTATGTGCACAGCTATGCATACAGTACCCAAGTAGGCCCTAGGAGGGTTCTGGCTCCCCGGGGACTGAGTTCTGGGGTTTTGAGATGACATGTGGGTGCTGAGAAGGAAAGCCAGGGCCTTTGCAAGAACATCACAAGCTGCTGAGCCTCCTCTCCAGCCCCAAATAAAGCCTCAGGATTCACCGATCTGAGATTGGAAGTGTTGAGAAGACAGCACCGGCCTGGCGTGTGCCACGCTGGGGAATCTCCAGCACCAGGGAACAAAAGCAACAAACAAAGAGTGAATTAAGGAATCTGCATGGCAAATATCAAGATAGTGCCACTATTAGTCATATTAAAATGATAATTGAGCCAGGTTTGGTGAAGCATGCCCCTAAAGAAGAGTCGGGGTGGTGTGTTCCAAGCCACCCTGAGCTACACAGGGAGATGTCTCAGAAAAACTATGTTAAACATACATTTTAAGATTCACAACGTGAAATTAAGCACAGGCGAGATTGTTGAGTGGGATGAGGTGGAGCAGGCCTTTAATTCCAGCCTTGGGGGGGGGGCGGGGTCAGGACGTCCAGGGCAACCTAAGCTATAACAGCTAGTGTGAGGTCAGCCTGGGCTGCATGAGGCCCAGTTGAAAGGGAAAGGGGGAAAGAAGGACAGGGGATGGCAGGGAGAATCGGGAAGAGAGGTGGGAGAGGAACTATTGATTCTTTTGAGCCCTAAGGAGAGCTCCTTCCCTCCGTGTGACCCGGGCAATTCCCGTTCATACTTCCTGCGCTGTCATTTCTTGTTCCATAGGCATCTCCTCTAGAACACCGTCACTTTCCAGGCCACAGGCATCCTCAGTGAGCCCCTGATCCTTATGGCTTCTTAGAATTTGTAACCCTTGTGGAGTGCGCCTCTGTTGGTTCTCTGTTGAAACCCCACTTGAGTTCTGCGTGCTCCTACAGGGTGAGCCTCTTGACTACGGGATAAAGGTCGCATCCTGGTTACCGGGGACATCAGGGCCTGATCAAATGAGCCTCAGTTTCCCTGTGTGATGATGATCTAGCACTGTGTGCTCCGAGAGGGAAGGACTGAGTCTTTCCGAGTGCTGCCATCTAGGCAGTCGTGGGTGGAAAGCTGCGAGTGGACGCTGTGGGACACGCCCCTCACCCATACCGTCAGTCCTGGCCCGAGGCTCCCATCCTACTGGGGGTCACGAGGTGGCCTCCGGCAACCCTTAGTAGGTCCAGACCTCGGGCGGGAGCGGATGCTGGGCTTGGACCTGGATCCTGAGCGGGGACGGGGGCGCGATAGTCTCTGCAGGTTGCCCAGGTCGGTTTCCAGGGCGTCACTGCAGAAGGAGGGGATTATGAGTGCCTGGCACCCGACACCGTGCCGGTGTGGGGCGCTCTTCCCTCCACACTCTGACATACCCCAGGGACTCGGGGGCCTCCCCTGAAGATCCTCCCCAAACGCCCGACTCTTCCCACTACCTTCTGTGCTGCTCCCGGGAGCCCCACATTGATCCCCCAAGGGGCACCTTCAACCCGGGACCCCACCCCAGACCACCTATCCCCTCAGCATCTCTTCAAGTCCGGCCCACCTGGTACCCTTCCGTCCCCATTGCAGAGCCCCCAGATACAAACTGACCTAAAGAACCACGCTCTACAGAATCACTGGCCCGGCCCTGGCCGTCTGACCCCGCCCGCCCCGTAACTCACATGCGCTCCTTAAGCGCCGCCTCGCGGCCAGCGCAAGCTTCTCCGGCTGCCTCTGCGGCGCCCACGCGCTGCAGGGCGGCTTCCAGCTGTTGCCTGGACTCCACGGCCGCGGCCTCCCAGCGAGCCAAGGCTTCTACAGGGGACAGGGGGGCTTGAATACGATGCCATGTACATGCTTGAATTAAAATGTGCGTGACTAACCTGGCCGAAGGTGGCGCACACCTGTAATCTCAGCACTCGGGAGGTAGAGGCAGGAGGATCTCTGTGAGTTCAAGGCCAGCCTGGGCTATAAAGCAAGTTCCAGGATAGCACAGCTACAGTTACTACACAGAGAAACCCTGTCTCGAAAACGAAACAAAAAACAAAAATGTTCATGACTTTCTATCTTCATCATCGTAGTCACTTTTATTATTACTGCTTTTGGAGACAATGTCTCATGTAGCCCAGGCTGGCCTTGGACTTACTATATAAACTAAGACTAGAGACAGAATCCTAACTCCCAATTCCTGCCTCCCCACTGCTGGGATAACAAGTTTCCACCATCACACCTGGTTCATGCAACATTTCGGGTTTTTGTTTTGTTTTGTTTTTGTTTTTGTTTGGTTTATTTTTTTCTTTCGAGACAGGGTTTCTCTGTGTGGCTCTGTAGACCAGGCTGGCCTCAAACTCACAGAGATCCACCTGCCTCTGCCTCCCCAGTACTGGAACTAAAGGCGTGTGCTGCCACCACCCAAACCTTTCCGTTTTTTGTTGTTTTATTTTCTCCTTTCAAGCCACCATTACACCTGATTCATACCTTTGTTATTTTGTTAATTTTGTTTGTTTGTTTTGTTTCTTTTAAGACTGGGTCTTGGCCAGGCATTGGTGGCACACGTGCCCCCTCCTCCTCCTCCTCCAGCCCCCTTCTCCTTTTCCTCCCCCTCTCCCCTACCCCAGCCCACCTGTCAGTTCTCCGTTCTCCAGCCCCATCTGTGTGCCTTGGGCTTTGGCCTCATCCATCTCAATCTTCAGGGTCTTCAGCTGGGTCTGAAGCCGGCTCTGCAGACAGCGGGGGGTGGGGGGGGGGAGCGTGGAGGAAGAAACGGACACAGAGGGAGCTAGGTGAACCCCCGCCCAACTCTGCCCAGTAGAAAATGCTTGGTTCCATCTAGAACTTGTCACCAGCTCAGGCAGACTTGATGGGTGACAGTGTCTGGTTTTCTGAGTCAGAACTCACACCTGGCGACAGGCACTTTTGGCCTCAGGGCCCTTCATCTGGGAATGCGAGAGCTCGCAGGGGCTGTTCTGAGTTTTCTGTATCAGGATGAGAACCCTCAAACTGGCCTCGAAGGTGTGGTCCCCCGCCTCAGCTTGCCATGACATTTAGATTTTTAAAACACAGATGTCAGCCAGACCTGGCAGGATACTCCTGTCATCCTAGCACTTGGGAGGTAGAGGCAGAAGGATCAGGAATCCAGCCCAGCATGGCCACTGCTTGAATTCCAGGACATTCTGGTCATTTGGGGCAGATCCTGTCTCAAAATTAAAATAAAAGGAGGACTGGGGTCGTGGCTAGGATTCCCCAGTGAGGTACTGGGGGTGTGGCTCAGGGGTGGAGCCCCTGCCTAGAATCCCCCAGTGGGGGTCTGGGGATGTGGCTCCAGGATACAGCCCCAACCTAGCAGTACTTAAGTCTTGTGTTTCCCAGTACAGTTCAGTGTCCACCAAAATTAGCTGTAGAAACTGTGCTGGGTCAGACACAAAAAGGTTCACAGGCATTGTTTAATAAATGTAAATTGCTAGGTTTAGAGGTGTTTCCTTTTGTGACAGAGCCTCCCACAGCCCAGGCTGCCTACATCCATGCTTCCAATGAAGAGTTGGAATCCTCATCTCCCTGCCTCTGCCTCCCTTGTGCCACGATAACAGGTGTGTGACACCATACTGTCAGTGACTTGGTTTTGAGCACTCCGTTTTGTGAGGCTGTGGGGTCAGAGGATTAAGAAAGAATCTGAGGGGGCGGCCCCCGGAAAAGGGAGGTCCCGCTGGTACCACCCCAAGAGGCCAACTTTAGTCTCCTAATTACAGGTGACATAAGTGTCCCTCTCTCAAAATAGGACTGCTGGAACTGGAGTGGGGGTGAGGTGGTACAGAGGGTCAACACGGGGTCTCTCAAAGCCCCGGGGTCCCAGCTTTTTCCTTGTTTTCAATAGCAGGGACGAGGATCAGAAGGTATCGTGGTATCAGAAGTTA